AATAAAAATATTTAAATAAAAGATGATAATTGTAAAAGATTAAAAACAATATTATGATGAACAAGACTTCAGGGTTCACTTAATTGATTTGTTTAACTGTTATAAATTTTGATTCCTATTTATTACTCAATTGCATGTTTCACATCCCAAACAAACAATAGGAAGATTCAACTTTGAAAACCAATAATAGTGACTAATGTATTTATTCTGAGAAAAATTAATTTCAATAAAGAACAAACTGATCTATCCTTACGAGTTATCCGAAAGCGACAATATATCTAATCGACAATACTGCAGTAAAGGATCAACCCGCAAAACAAATCTACCAATCAATTATATTCTAACAAATCACACATAAAAAGAGTATGACTAATTTTATATGAAATTTGATAAATATAATTGTCAGAGTTTTCAGATCTGAAAATAATTAACAATCTCTCAAAAATAAAATTAAACAATAAAATCTATAAAGAAATCAAAATAAAATAATAAGTCAAACTCTTCAATCAAGATCTTCCCTAATCTTGTTGAAAGTTTAATTGTCCTTTAACATAATTCTCTAACCTTGAAGAAGAAAATAGAAGTCTGGTAGCAGCTTCTCCAGCCCTGGAACCCCTTCTAAAATAACTTGGATGGGTATTTATAAAATCCTGGAAACCCTAATTAGAATGTATGTTGGGCTGGGCTGAATTACCGCGCAAGGGGTCGACACTCTTTACAAGGTGGCGGCACTTTGAGTGGAGCGTCAGCTGCATCCTTCGTGTCGGGTTTTTGGCCTTTTGTGCAATTTTGCTTAATGGCAGAGTAACAGTCTTGGTCCCTGACTCCTGGATTCCGTGCAAGTTGATCATCATATTTCTGAGCTTTGCAATTTGCTCCTTGATCAAGAATGGAGAAAATCTCACTTGAGCCTTTAAACTTCTGATTTATCCTTAGATCCTCATCTTTTCAGCTCTTTGCATTGAAGTCCTTTTTCTTCTAATTCTTTCCATTTAGTCATCAAACCTTTAATCACCAAAATTTTGCACAACATGAATAGAGTGAACAATTATGAAATTATTTGTAGAAAAATATAACTCTTAAACCCATAATTCCACAAATGTTCAGGGTTAAGCACACTTTAGATATACATTTTCATGCTTTCATCACTAATTTGCCACAAACCCTGAATATGAAAATAATCTGCTCTGGACAGAAGTCTTGCAGCTACTTCATTCCTTAGAACAGGTAGTTTCTTTAGCCAAAAGGGTGTTTATTGGTCAACATCATCCATTCAAGTAAGAATGCACACATATCAGACATCATTGCAGACATAGTAGTCATTTTATTAC